TCCTGCCAAAAAATGAGTATTGGTTCTAAGTTATGGGACATCTGGGCAAAAATCAGAAATAATGCAATTTCCGAATTTTTTGTGCAGATTTTCAGTGAATTTAAAGCATATTTTGTTTCAAAAACAAAGAGCACAAACTTGCCTACCTACCAAATTTATATATTTCACACTCTAGTATCATGAAGGAAATCGGGTGTTACATTTATTTAGAATTTGATAAAATGATTTGTAATTATGGCTCGTATCATTATTAGCTCTACTGGTCCGAGACCAGAAGAGCTTATGCGATAGTAATGCGTCCGTCGTCCGTCCGTCTGTCTGTCTGTCTGTCTGTCCGTCTGTAAACAATTTTTCAAAATGCTACTTCTCCTACAGTTTTGGTCTGATTTCAATATAACTTGGCACACAAGTAGACTACACTAAGATACATAATTCTATATATCGGTTTTTGATTTCGATGAACGGTGTTGCCGTGGTTACTAAAAATAGAAATTTCTGTGAAATTCTTTCAAAATGCTACTCCTTCTACAGTTTTAATCTGATTTCAATTTGACTTGGCACACAAGTAGACTACACTAAGATACATAATTCTGTATATCGGTTTTTGATTTTGATGAACGCTGTTGCCGTGGTTACTAAAAATAGAAATGTCTGTGAAATTCTTTCAAAATGCTACTCCTCCTACAGTTTTGGTCTGATTTCAATATAACTTGGCACACAAGTAGAATACACTAAGATACATAATTCTGTGTATCGGTTTTTGATTTCGATGAACGGTGTTGCTGTGGTTACTAAAAATAGAAATTTCTGTGAAATTCTTTCAAAATGCTACTCCTCCTACAGTTTTTGTCTGATTTCAATATAACTTGACACACAAGTAGAACACACTAAGGTACATAAATCTATTTATCAGTTTTTGATTTCGATGAACTGTGTTGACGTGCTTCTAAAAATAGAAATTTCTGTGAAATTCTTTCAAAATGCTACTCCTCCTACAGTTTTGGTCTGATTTTAATGTCACTTGGCACACAAGTAGACTACACTAAGATACATAATTCTATATATCGGTTTTTGATTTCGATGAACGGTGTTGCTGTGGTTACTAAAAATAGAAATTTCTGTGAAATTCTTTCAAAATGCTACACCTCCTACAGTTTTGGTCTGATTTCAATATAACTTGACACACAAGTAGACTACACTAAGGTACATAATTCTTTGTATAGTTTTTCACTTCAATGAACGGTGTTGCCACGGTTACTGAAAATAGAAGTTTCTGTTTAATACTCTCAAAATGCTACTCCAAATACAGTTTTAGTCTGATTATAATGTAATGTGGCATGCAAGTAGACTACACTAAAACATAAAGAGACTTAATCAAGGATCATTTTTCTATTAACTGCTGTTGAAAAGTTTCAATTCCCAACTGCCTAAGTACTTTTATCTTCTTTTGCTATAAGTACAAACCAGTAGAGCTTCAGTCTCGACAGAGACTTCTGGTTTTTAGTGTGCTGAAACAGAGGAACACTGTGGACATACAACCCAGTGCTGTGACCCCAAAAATGTGTGCCTGAAGGACCGAGAAAAATCAGTATTAATAGGTACTTGTAGTAATTATAAAACATTGTATTTATCTACATACAGAATGTTTATTTAGTAAATGTCCACTAAGTTGTCATTCTCTTTTGTAAGGAACATATTTCTAAAAATGTTGACTTTGTTCTTCCATATTATTCTTGCGTTTAATGCGTTTGGCTTTTATTTGGTTACCAAAAGGTCGGGAGATAGGAACGTGCAAAAACATTGAAAAGCTAAAGCCCAATCCAGAATTCCTCAAACCACTAGGTAATGTTTTATTCTTATCTCATTAATTTGCTAAAGAAAAAATGTGAACCATAATTTCCATGTGTATTTTTCATATTTCACCGACAGGGGCGAGGTGTTCCGATAGTACGGAGTGCGGAGCCGGACTGTGCTGTAGGGGGATTTTCCGTTTCCGGTATGGCAAAATTTATCGGTGTGAGAAGAGTGATAGCCCTTTTATGTGTATTTCCAAAGATGCTTTCGAGTATTAAATAAACGTTATGTCAAGATTTTGATTCATAACTATTGTACAAATGTAACATATATCTGTTCATTGATGATATTCCATGAAGTGACAAGACAATTCTTTTAGTTTCTGAACAAACATATTTCCACATTAAGTTATGCAAGTCATTTGTAAAATGAATAAAAGCTTTGCTACACTTGTTCGTGTGCGTTTTCCTTTTTAAGTATAAGGTTTTTTTTATATTTCGGGTTGTTTTTGGTATCTACTTCCATTAAGTTCGTTCATTCTTTATTTCCTTCGAACCGGAGACTCAGTTTCAACATTACAACAAATATGAACAATCAAACAACATTATTAGGGAGAAATCAACTAGATGAAAAACAAATGAAAATAGCTATAAAGATAATAATATAATAATGATAAATAAATAATTTGCGTGACATTGAAGGTTATAAGGCAGTGAAAAAAAACAGATAAAAACCAGATTACATTACTCTGTAGAAGTGATGCGTCCCTAATGTATCTAAAATTAAGTAGGTAAATATCAGGGTTGTCGAAAGCGACGTTTACATTTGCGGAGGTTCATGTCATGAAATTGAAATAATAGATACCAAAGAGTTTGACTCATCTGTTTCATACATGTATTTTGAAATTTCACTTGAATAAGACATTTATGATAATCTAACAACAAAAGGTGATTACTTCACCTTTTCTTTCGTCAATTTCGCCTTTTATGTTGCAATATGCCCTCATCACCTGCACCTCTCAGTTAATTCGATACACAAGGGCTCTACGTAGGAACAATTTTAAATCGAGGATATTACATGTAGTTGACAAACAAATTGATGAAACAAGGATATCAATAGTCTCGTTCAAAGTCATCATATCCCAAATTCTATGGTTGATATACATATGTAATGAATTTGCCAGCATACAATATTTCGTTAATTCAAATGCTGATGGACATTTTCATAACATGATAATTGTTAGCCCGTTTTTGTATACTACATTGTCGACGGATTTTCCGTTATTCCCCGATCATGACTCATGATTTGTATTGTTTTCTTGGACTTTGAGCTTAAATATGATTGTTATCTCCATATTTTATAAGATGTGCAATGAAGCCGTAATATTTTTCGTTTGGTTGAAATGTTTAGGTCTTGAGGTCTTGTCGAATGTTCATGGTTATAATGACTGCATCGTTTCTTTAAGATTGAGAAAACTTACAATGTTTATCCCAATACTACTCTCAAAATCGACACAAGATACGGCTAGGTTTATGTCTACATACATGTATACGTTTTGACGTTCCGACGCCTCCTGACCGTTACTAGTATATTTGCCAGTATGTAAGGTTACATTTTGTCGCCCGCGCTGTAGAGAGTGAGAAAATGCTCTTCAATACAAATAAAGGCGACATTGTCAATGTGTATTGTTGGACGACAATACAATTATTTACAATTAGAGTATATGTATATATTGCATTGCCACCGTCGATAATAAACGTACGTTATAAACTGTCTTAAGAAACGTAGTACATGTATGTTGCAACCATTACTGTAAATTCCTTATTTTTCGCGAGTACGTTTTATCGCGAACTGGATCTTTAACGTCAAATCGCGAGAATTATAATTCGCCAATGGACGGTTGATCAACAGAATTTACATAGACTTTAGCACCATAAAAATAAAAGCGAGTATTATTTTTTCGCGAGTGACGTTTCTCGCGAAATTACGCGGAAATTAATTCCTCGCGTATAATTAGGAATCTACAGTATTGAAATAGTGGTTGAGAGTGCATTCCAATAACAAACATAGGTTGCAACCACTATTGAAATACGTCCATTATTGAAATAATTATTTCAACAGTGGTTGAGAGTGCTTTTCAATAAAAAACATAGGTTGCAACCACTATTGAAATACGACCACTTTTGAAATTATTACACGTACATGAAAAAACAGTATAAATTATAAAGAGTATCTACATTGTGAATATGCATGCTAATAAAAGATTTAGATAGAATCAATATGAACTGAAAAGTGACACTTTTTTAAGAGTTTCAGTATTTCAATAGTGGGTGAGAGTACAATTCAATAACAAACATAGGTTGCAACCACTACTGAAATAATCATTTCAATAGTGGTTGAGAGTGCATTTCAATAACAAATATTGGTTGCAACCACTATTGAAATACGCCCACTGTTGAAATAATTATTTCAATAGTGGTTGAGAGTGCATTTCAATAACAAACAGAGATTGCAACCGCTGTTGAAATAAGACCACTCACTATTGAAATAATTATTTCAATAGTGCCTAAGTGGTTGAGAGTGCTTTTCAATAACAAACAGGTTGCAACCACTATTGAAATATAAGTAACACTTTTGAAACTTTGAAGTTGTTTTATGTTTTACTTTTTTGTAGAAATTTAGATTAATTCACGGACACTGTTTATTAAACTGACCTACCTTTAATTCAAACATGTATGCAGATGTTATAAGCAAGTTCCCGCTGAATCTGGCCGAATCGGCGAAAACCAACAGACAATCTATCAATATACATAGTGGTTGCAACCTATGTTTGTTATTGAAATACACTCTCAACCACTATTTACATAAATTTTTCAATAGTGGTCGTATTTCAATGATGGTTACAGCCTATGTTTGTTATTGAAATGCACTCTCAACCACTATTGAAATAATTATTTCGATAGTGGACGTATTTCAATATTGGTTGCAACCATGTTTGTTATTGAAATGCATTCTCAATACTATTGAAATAATTATTTCAATACTGGTCGTATTTCAATAGTGGTTGCAACACATGTACATGATTAAAAAACAAAACAGCTTCAATAGCAATATTGATATATGTATAATACGTCGTTGCAAACATATTAAAATGGTGGCGTTGTCGTTGTTCCAGCACACTGTTCAGTGGTCAGTTTTATATGTCCATGGTACCAAACAGCGTTACATCCATTGCAATAGTCAGCCCTAAACGAAGGAAGTATTATTCAATTTAACGGGTTTCACTTCATGATAGTTTACAATGAAACGTTTATCATCATTTATTTATACAATACAATCTAACAGGTTAATATTTGTACAGGCTTTACTTACACACAGTGAGCATTTGGATACGAACACTTGGCAACATCACATGGGCTGACGAAACATTGGAAAATCTGTCCAACACAGCCTCTCAAAGAGGCTGCAGAGCAAACTGACGCTAAAGGAGAGAAAAAATAACGTGTATTTATGTCTGAGATAAAAAAAAAATATCAGAGGAGATCAAAGCTCGGGAGAAACTGACAAACTTTTAAATGAAGGATTTTTGTATTCTATTTTTATACTACTTTTTACACCCGTTACTCCTCCTATACCAAAGAATAAATTCAATGAGATTCTTCCAGAATCTTTGGAACTTATACCTACCTCTATTTTACGTTTCGATCAAAAACATATTTGGGGTTTCCCATGGGAAAAAACCCCATGGCATTGTCTTTTTTAACATATCATCGGGGGTCTCATTTCTTTTTTGTAACTGCTTACTAAATATACTTTAAGGAGACCTGTTATATAATGCGACATAGCTTTGATAGAATCTTGATTACATAGTGCTATTCTGCACCATCCTTTTTTACGTTTTGATATTTTGTGTTTCCCACTACAAAATATGAACTCCATTATCTCTATTCGGAACGGAGATAAAAGTTTGTAAGCTCATTTCTCACAGTTCTTCTAGACCATTATGTGTAGTACTTTGAAAGAAAATGAAAGATGAAGAAGTTAAATGCGTACATTTAATCAAACCATTTTGTTAAAAATGATATTATTACCGAAAGATGATTCAATGCAGGCTGAGTAAAAATGGTGTGAAGTAAAATGCAACAAAAATGAACATTACATACCTGAAAATAATTAAGACACAGAAGGCAAAGACGCAGAACCCCCTCATTTTGATCACAACTACGTCTGGTGTGTACTGTCTAGTAAAACTGATATGAAAATCTTTTATCTACTGTTCAGTGCATGTTGACATCACGATCTTTTTATGTCATTTGTAATCCAACATATACCCATATAGCTCCCCTAAGCAGAAAATTCCTCAAAATCATATATGTCAGTTTTAAATATATTTTTTTTATATTTCTAGTCATCAAAGTGAATTTGGACTACCAAACAGATATTGGATTCCTTAACTTCATAAAACCCTTAGATTATAAAGATATACAGCAGGTTCCAGTAAATGCTCTACCAAACCTATTTCTTTACTCCTCACTTAAATATTAACAGTAGTGAAGGGGAAGCATCAGGAGTACTTTGCAATAATATATTCGATAAGACAAATGGTATAAATCAAATACTTAAAAAAAAATTAAGAATATTCATATGTATTTTTTGAATATTTTTTTCTTTAATATTTATTTATTTCGTCTTAATACAAATATACAGTATCATGTGTTCTCCAGATCAAGAGAAAGTGGATTTTATTAACTTTTTTATCTAAAAGTAAAAACCTAAAAACATTCCCATTCTATCGGATTTTGTGACAATTCATTATTATCGATTCATAAATTAAGATTTTAAGAGTATAAATATATGTATATATATAATAATATATCCATGTATGTATACTGTGGTTAGGTATGATATCTGACTCAGGTAAAAATGCACCACTCACTCATAGCATCTTCCATAAAAATTAAAGTATTGAAGACTTTGTTACAATATATCCATGTTTGTAGAAAAATTATAATTTTCAAACTTTAGATCTTGATCAGAGTATGTTCTATAGCCAGATGGCAAAATGGAAACTACATTTTCTACTTCGGCTTTATTGACCTTCTATATTATGTGACTTAAAACACCTTTGAACAGACTAACCAATGTGAAACAAGATTCTGTATCTTCGGATAATGAATCGAACCAGATTTTGCAAAATATAATTAGATTGACTTTGGCATATAGTGTGTAGTTTATGTTCGATAATTCATATTGCATGTTCAACATTAATGTTGCTTTCCTTTTGAAGAAATAATTCAATGATTTGTTTTCATACTCCTCCCTGTGTTTCACAAGTTTCATGACATTTGATACGTGTACTTGCAGACATGTTGCAAAATGAGATAAACCTAGTATTCACATTTGATAAACTAGGTTTATCGACTGTAAACTATAGTTTACAAACCGTAAACTATAGTTAACGATTCGTTAAGTATAGTTTACGATTCGTTAAGTATAGTTTTCATCTGTAAAACTATATTTAACGGTTGTTAACTATAGTTTACGAATGATAATCTAAGTTTGTCTGTCTGTAATAAGCGTTAACAACAGATTTTGTTGATAAACATAGATTCACATTTGTAAACTATAGTTTACAATCGTAAACTATAGTTAAGAGTTGTTAATCTTAGTTTCACAAATCTTGAAATAATCTTTATCATATCGTTAACTATAGTTAACGGTTTGTAAACTATAGTTTACAAATCGTGAAACTGTATTTATCAGATAATCTATGTTTTGCAATCGCAAATGATAGTTTTCAGTGTTATATTAAGTATAGTTTACGGGTGTGAAACATAGATTATCGCGTTAACTATGGTTTACGGATGTAAAATATAGATTAACGTTGTTACCTATAGTTTACAGTCCGTAAACTATAGTTTACAACCGATAAACCTAGTTTATCGACTGTGAAACTATGTTTATCTCATTTTTGTGAATTTGGCGTGCCATATTTATCAACAGAATCTATTGTTAACGGTTTATTTCAGTCAGATAAACTTACTGTGGATTAACATTCGTAAACTATAGTTAACAACCGATAGTTTTACAGATGGAAACTATACTTAACGAATCGTTAAGTATAGTTAACGATTCGTTAAGTATAGTTTTCGGTTTGTAAAACTATATTTAACGGTTGTTAACTATAGTTTATCAAATGATAATCTAAGTTTATCTCATTTGTAATAAGGTTAACAATAGATTTTGTTGATAAACATAGATTCACATTTGTAAACTATAGTTTACAATCGTAAACTATAGTTAAGAGTTGTTAATCTTAGTTTCACAAATCGTGAAATAATCTTTATCAGATCGTTAACTATAGTTAACGGTTTGTAAACTATAGTTTACAAATCGTGAAACTGTATTTATCAGATAATCTATGTTTTGCAATCGCAAATAATTGTTTTCAGTGTTATATTAAGTATAGTTTACGGGTGTGAAACATAGATTATCGCGTTAACTATGGTTTACGGATGTAAAATATAGATTAACGTTGTTAACTATAGTTTACAGTCCGTAAACTATAGTTTACAACCGATAAACCTAGTTTATCGACTGTGAAACTATGTTTAGCTCATTTTTGTGAATTTGGCGTGCCATATTATGTATGTATCGTTTGTAATAAGCATTAACAATAGATTTTGTTGATAAACATAGATTCACGTTTGTAAACTATAGTTTACAACGTAAACTATAGTTAAGAGTATCATAGTTTCACAAATCGTGAAACTACAGTTATCACGCGAACTATAGTTAACGGTTTGTAAAGTATAGTTTATACTTAACACCGAAAACAATCATGCGCGATTGCAAAACATAGATTATCTGATAAATACAGTTTCACGATTTGTAAACTATACTTTACAAACCGTTAACTATAGTTAACGATCTGATAAATATAGTTTCACGATTTGTGAAACTATGATTAACAACTCTGAACTATAGTTTACGATTGTAAACTATAGTTTACGATTGTAAACTATAGTTTACAAACGTGAATCTATGTTTATCAACAAAATCTATTGTTAACGCTTTATTACAGACAGATAAACTTAAATTAACATTCGTAAACTATAGTTAACAACCGTTAAATATAGTTTACAGATGAAAACTATAATTAACGAATCGTTAACTATAGTTTACGGTTTGTAAACTATAGTTTACAGTCGATAAACCTAGTTTATCAATTGTGAAACTATGATTATCTCATTTTTGTGAATTTGGCGTGCCATATGTA